ATTCAGAGGAGGAGCAAGCAAGGCAAGGATGAGGCCTCTGCTTCAGCCTGGTCCCATGTGGGGCTCTGATCCAGCCTCTGCTCCCCTGCGCGGCTCTACCATTGGGTGCTGATGTAAGAGAGGGGGCACAGATCTGCTGAAGAGGGGCAGGTGTTGGCATCAAGACTCAGCAGCTGGGGGGTGGGGTGGGCACACCAACCCAGTAAAGGGGCTCCGAGGAGAGCATCGGCAATATCCCCTGCATGATCCATAAAGCCATGTGACCAGTTGTCCCAGTTTGCTAGGGACGGAGGGGTTTGCTGGGATTGGGGCTTTCAGCTAAAGTAGGACAATATTGAGCAAAGCAGCTGGCTACTCTATGTGTGCGGTCTCTATCCGGCACCCAGCTGGCCCTCTCCCATGTGCTGGTAACACTGTGTTTCCTCTAACATTAATAACGACGATAATAATTAATACTTATTGAACATTTCCTCTGGGCTAAGTGCTTTATCTTTGGTCGATCTTTAGTGCTCACAAATGCTTAGAGGAGGAACTCAGAATATCCCCACCGAATGCACAGAGACCCTGAGCGGCCCAAGGCCACTCTGCTAGGAAATGTCAGAACTAGAATTTGAACTTGGGTCCATCTGACCCAGCCCTAACATTTAGCTGCCACACGCTACCTGCACCAAAACTGTGTGTGTGTGTGTGTGTGCATTCCTGACACACATTCTTCTTAGGGCAGGGACCCTGCATTTCTCCTCCTCCTGTATCCTGCCTCCTCCCCACCCCCACCCAGCACCCAATACCCAGCACTCAGCACCCAGCTAAGTGACTAAGGGTGCACATCACGCTCACTCACTGGCACTTTCCAATGCCCAGACTTCTCCCTCAGACAATTTAGCCAGAAATTGGTAGATGTTAAGGAAATGGAATGAATCCTCCTTTTTAACAGCACTCAGCGGGGAAAGTTTTATCATCTTGTGCTTGGGCAATTTTTTTCTTTATTTATGATTGAGTGTGTGTGTATGCACATGAGAGAGAATGAGCATCCTCCACAGGGTCTGGTGACATGACAATTCCTTCTTTCCAGCCCTCCAGCCCACTGGGCCCTGGGTACTTTCTCATGTGCCCAGTGTGTTTCAGGCTGTCCAGGTTGGGGATTCGAACTGTGATTACTATGGGGAATCTGGCTTCTCTCAAGTGGTGTATTACCACCAGTCCGGCATTTTGTCTGAAAGATACAGAAGTGTGTATCATTCTAGTTGATTTTAAATTCAGATGACCTGGGCCAGCAGGTAGCATGGTGGTTAAGGCACTGTACTCTTGCATGGCTGATCACAGTTTGAGTCCTGGACCTCGTGGCCTGCTTTCTCACTTTCACTTTCTGTGTGTGTGTGTCTGTTGAGTACATGTGCCCTGTAGCAAATTAAAAAATAATTATAAATAAAATTAAATAAATAATTACTTTTTAAAAAAATCAGATGACCTTGGTTTGGTCCTACTCTGACACTTTTTAGCTGTACGACCCTGGACACTTTTCTTTACCTCTCTGAGCCTCAGTTTCCAAATCTGTAAAATGAGGTTCTAATAATAACTTTGCTCATCGGGTTGTTTATAAGAAATAAATCCATGTCTAATTGAACAAGCTGAGCACTTATTGTGTGCGAAGTGTGTTGTAAGCGTAATGTAATTATGTAGAAATAAATCCCTCCAGCAGTTTTGTGGAGTAGGGGCTGCTATGTCCCCATCTTACTGATGAAGAAACCGAGGTGCAGAGTGAAACAACTTGCCCACGTAGTAAAAGCAGGATATACTCGATCCTTGACAATCTGGCTCCAGAATCCATCTTTTTGGAGGTTTTTTGGATCATTAAAAAGTTTGCTATAGGATGCATGCACTTGCTGGAGACATAGAAAGAGGCACAGAGAAAGAGGGAGAGAGAGGAAGCAGTAAGAGAAAGCACCCCGGGGGTGGGAAAATGGCCACACCGCAATCTCTTCTCTTCCATTCTCCTCTCGGGATTTTGGGCACACATGCACATGTGTCTGTTGTGTTTCTCAAGCTGCCGGATTCGACACTCAAATCACATACTTGGCCGTGTGAGATCCAGCACTTTAACCACCATGTTGCTGGCTGGCCCCCAAAATGTGTGTCCTTCACTGGAGTGCTGGTCTGGATGTGGGAGGCTGAGGAAGTGCCCAACCAGTGCTAGCCTTCCTTCATCCCTGCCTTTTTGACCCCTGCCACCCGTTACACAATCTCTGGAGACAAAAAGCTTTCGTATCTTCACATCGTCTCCCCGTCACAGCTGGTGTCTTCTCTGGCTTTATGCCTACCAGGCCACTCGAAGCTCCCCACTCCCGGCCTCACACCTGCCCTCACCTGAGTTGGCCAGGGCCAGGGCTTTGAGCGTCACGAACTCCTCCTTCTCCACCTTGAGCTTCTTGTACCTGCGCACCAGCTGCAGGATGGCCCGGTAGAGCTCGAGCAGCCCAGCGAGGCGGGAGTGCTCCTCATCCATGATGTAGTCCTCGGCGTACACCAGCTTGTCATCGTAGGGCAGCGAGCGGTACACGATGCCCAGGATGAGGATCTCCATCCAGGCGCTCTGTAGCAGGCTCATCTGGTCCCCCAGCGAGAGGTTTGAGAAGCCTGCGGGAAGAGGAGGCAAGGAGGTCACAGCCATCAGGAGCCGCCCTGGGGCTCACTGAGGGTGAGGGTGGGGGCAAGTGGCTGTATCCCTGCCTCCCCGCCTCTCCTGTGCTGCCTGGGGGCTTCCTTGTGCTGCTCTCGCCTCACTGTTCTTCCCTGGAGAATGAGTCAGCCTTGGAATTCAAGGAAGTCTTACATAATGAGCGCTCAGTCAATGTTGACAGTGGTTATTATCGGTACCATTGTTAGTTCTATGGCATTTTTCAAACGTCTGCAGAGGCTTTTTGATTAAGTGAATGCATTTGGATTCATAGTAGAGTCAGTAGGCAGCAGTAGGGGGTCTCTTCTACTCCAGGGAGTTTCCAGGCCTCTTCCAGCTAAGGAAGAAGGTCCCAGAAACTGCAGCCTCAGGATGCCAGGAGATCAAGAGCCCCTGAGGTTGGAGACACTTACTCTCAGGACAGCCCTCCCGCCCAGGTCACCACTCTCTATTCTATAAGCTTAGAATCATGGGAGCTTCCCCGCCCTGTTAGCAAGGAGACCGACTCCACCACCATCATCATCGTCATCATCATCAGGTCGGAATGGGCCAGGCTCCAGGATTCTGACTGTCCGGTGTGCTCCAGAAATTGCCTGGGCCTCAGCCTCGACTCTGCACTTATTAGCTGTCAGCTGACCTTGTGAAAGCCATGCCACTCTTGCAGCCTCAGCTTCCTCATCTATGAAATGCGTGCAAGAGCACCTGCTTCAGAGAGTCGGAGTGAGGTCTCAATGAGACCATAATTACAGAACGCACAGAGGATTACCCGAGCTCTTCGAAGTCTTCCTCTGCCAAGTGGAGAAAATATACAACTGCATCTCACGCACACTTCACTTAGGCCAAGTCAGCTAACAGCTTGATTTACACGCGAGTGACGGAGAATGAGAGAGTAAGCAGGTGAGCTGCCGTTCAGATGTCACCACAGCACAAGGCAGTCACGTCACTGGGCCAGCCAGCACCCAGTGGTTGGTGCCAGCATGGACCACCCCGGGTTTATCAGAAGCAGGACGAGCACCCACAAAGTCGTTTGCACCATGCTCTGTGGACAGCTAAAAGGAAGAGACTTTTCAGGGGCAGTGCTGCTGATGAGCAACTTTTGCTCTATCCCGCTGACCGAGAACCAGCCCGGCCCCGATGCTGCTTCCTGACGTGGGGAGGCTACAGGGCTGAAAAGAGGCGATGCGCAAACACACCTGGCACTGCTCCCAGCAGTCGGTGCTCAGCGCGCCTTAGCTCAGGTGCAGGAAGACGGCCGCGCTTGCTAATATTCTTGACACCGAGGTCTACTACAGGCATCTTTTCCGCTTTGGATATGCCTGAAGGCCTGGGGCAGTCCCAAGTTTCTGGACTGGCCCATGTCTCTGGGCTTCTGTGGTCTCTCCACCACTCAGCTGCTGTCCTCAGTGTAAAACCCACTGTCCCTCCCTGTTTTCCAACGGTACATGACTGGTCAACCTCGGGGCACACTGGAGGTGGCGGAAGACTTGGCAGGCCACCCTCTGCCCTCGGAGTGTTCTCCACATAGTCAGGCACTGTTCCCAGACCCCATGTGGACAAGCGAGGCCTTGGGTCACCACCCGGCTTCCAGAACCCGTGGGTGATCAACGAAACAGCGGCTGCGTGGTGGGTTTTGATTGATGCTCGTTCTCAGGGGAGAAGCTGGTCCCAGAGAGATCAGGGGTGTGTGTGTTGACCAGATGGGAGAGGACGCGGCTGCTGCAGTGGCCAGGGGAGCCGGGAGGTAATAAAAGATAGAAATGGACATCCAATTTCCCTTATCAGGTTTCTGCGTAGGAGAGAGGCCTTGGGCGACATTAATTAACAGATACCAATCAGCCAGCACAGGAGGGGGAGGGCTGGGTGCTGCACTGGGGCTGGAGGGATTCGGAAAGCAGACAGACTGGGTGGGAAGATGGAGGAGAAGGGCAGGGGAGAAACTGCAGACAACTGAACAGGAAGGTGGCAGAAAGGGAGGTAAGGGCCAGGCTTCGGCAAACGCAGGAGGAGACGCCAGTGGGGCTAAGCGTGCAGGTACAGTAGTTAAAGTGTTACTGGAGTGCATCTGCCCCTTTAGTCAATCAGCTACTGTTCACTGAGTCTCTGCCGAGTTCCGGGCCTGGGCTAGGCTCTGTACACAGAATGGTGCGCTCAAACCGGAAATGCTCCCTGCCTTCCAGAGCTTATGTGGAGCGGGGAAGGCACACACCAAGTATCACAGGCAGCACAAAGTCACATCTGTAAAAAGAGCTATGACAGGGCCAGCAGGTGGCGTGGTGGTTAAGGAACTGGATTACCACATGGTCCACCGTGGCTCGAGTCCCAGACCTGGCAGCTTGAAAATCATGCTGGATGTGCTGGGTGTGTGTGCATAGGTACCCCAAATCCCGAGAGAGAACGGAGAAGGGATTGTAGTGTGGGCACCCCTTTGGGAGGTGATTTTTCACCTTCCCTCTCTCTGTGCCTCTCTGGTGAGGGCATGCACGCTTAGGACAAAAACCTAAAGAGCTAGGACTACCAGAGGGCTCTGAGAACAGATAACAGGGGGATGTGGGCCAAGTGAGAGTCGAAGAGGCTTTGCAGATGGGGCACCTGGGGGCTGAGTCAGAGCAGCGTGGTGAGAACACACCTGTCGTGCTGCCACCATGCCCTTCCCCGAGCCCCCAGGGAGCACAGACAGAGCTAGTCACCCTCCTACCCAGAAGTTCCAAGGAAATAAGTTCCCCTACAAACATCCACAGTGCAGAGCAGAGGGCGGACAGATGCCACAGGTCTGGACTCCCAGGTGATAGGCTCAAAGCACTTGTCAGACCCCCTTAGATCTCTAGAGTCAAGTTCAGCTTCAGTTGCCTTTGCCTAAGTCAGGGGTAGACCTGTCTTTTCATGGGGGGAAGAAGGAGAGACAACACCTTGGACAGTCTTGAGCCCATGAGAGGATGTCCCTTGGGACCCCTGTCCCTAAACTCCTCTCTGCTTGGCTGGGTATGAACTCAGCCCCCAATGTCTTTCTTCCTCCTTGAGTATATTTTAAAAGTTCTGAAAATAGCTTTTTTTTTTTTTTTTTAAGAGGCTTTTGCTATAGGGTGTGTGCACTCACCAGAAAGACAGAGAGAGACAGAGAGACAGAAAGCGAGAAATCACCCCCCAAGGGGGATGATCATGCCGCAATCCCTTCTCCTCCATTCTTCTCTCGGGATCTTGGGCATGCACGCACACACGCCCAGCGTGAGTTTAAGCCACCGGGTCTGGAACTAGAACTGCGGTCAACTACATGTGAGTTCAGCGCCATAGCCATTACGCTAACTGCTGGTCCAAAAGTTCTGGAAATAGCTTTTAAAAGCCACGTGGACATTCCAAAGTGTAGAATTGTGAATACAGGGGGCTTCATTTTGTTTAAGGAAAGGGAGGAAAGAGTTGATATTTTCTAACACTTGAAAGAGGTAAAATATTTTCTTCTTTTTTTTTTTTTTGACTTTTTTTTTTTTGGAGAGGTTTTTGCTATAGGGCGCGTGTGCTCGCCAGACAAACAGAAAGAGACAGAGAGATAGAAAGCAAGAAATCACCCCCCAGGGGGGATGGCCACGCTGCAATCCCTTCTCCTCCATTCTCCCCTCGGGATCTTCGGCACGCATGCACACGCGCCCGGCGTGAATTTAAGCCACCGGGTCCGGGACTCGAATTGCGGTTGACTACGTGGGAGTCCAGCACCACAGCCATTACACTAACTGCTGGTCCTGAGGTAAAATATTTTCTAATATTTGAAAAAAGGAACATTTGAAAATGTTAAAATATTTGAAATTAAAAAAAAAAAAACTTGAAAAAGGAGAAACTAAACTGGTTACCTCTAGGAGGTGAGAGGAGACAGGGATGGGAGTGAGAGTCCTGTGTCTGTATTTTCATCTGCTTGTTTTGTTTTGTTTTTAGTGTTTGTTAAAGGACGTGTCTGCTCACTGGAACGAGACAGACAGGGAGAGAGAGTGAAAGTCTCACCCTCCAGGGGAGATGGTCACACCACAGCCCCTACTTCTCCATTCTCTTATTTGTATTTTGGGCACAAACATACTCTCAAGCCACCAGGTCTGGGTCTTGAAAAATGCCGTTGACCATCAGGGATCCAGCTGCCTTAACCGCTCCACTACTGGCCAGCCACATTTTTAGCTATTTTGAAACTCTGTCAGTGTTTTAGATGTTCAAAAATCAAATTAAATGGTAAATATAATTAAGTTAAAAACAGGAGGGGTGTGGGACCAGCAGTTGGCATAATAGCTATGTTGCTGGACTCCCATGTAGTCGGCCGCAGTTCGAGTCCCGGATCTGGTGGTTTAAACTCACGCTGGGTGCATGTGTGTGTGAGCCCAAGATCCTGAGAGGAGAATGGAGAAGGGATTGTGGCATGGCCATACCCTCTGGGGGGTGATTTCTTGCTTTCTGTCTCTCTGTCTCCCTCTGTCTTTCGGGTGAGCACTCGCACCCTATAGCAAATAAAAAAAAAATAAAAAAATAAAATCACTCAGGGAAAAAAAAAACAAACCCAGGAGGGATGGATGGTTATGGGAAGGGAGAAACTCAAGGAGGGAGGAACATTCGACAGACACAAGAATGGAAAGATACTGCATATCGTAGTGTCTGTGACTGCCTTGACATGCAATGCGTCTGTGCTCTGCGAATCCACATTGCATGCTATAAATATCTACCTGTGATTAAAGGTAATAATAAAGCCATGTTCCCTCCAACCTAGCAATCTGACTGTTAAGAATTTCTGCTAGGAAGTATGCATAAATACACAGAGGTAAAAGGGTATATAGGCAGATCAGTAAAATAACCTAAAGCAGAAAACAGCCTACATGGAATTAGTGTACTACATGGAATTATTATATCAATGTAATTTTTAGCTAGGTGACTCGCACATTAGGAGCCAGTAGAAAAAATGAGGTCAAACTGTTGGTGTGGGTGTGGAAATACACCCAAGAGTGGGAAGGGAATGTAACTATTGAGAGGGCAGATGCCAGGGCCAGACTGGGTCCTAGCTCTGCCCGTCACTAGCTGTGACTTTGCACAAGTCCACTGTCTGTGCCTCAGTTTCTTCACCTGCACACTGTTTCTTCACACTGGGGTAAGAACAGCACTTACCTCCTGGGGTTATTTGGAGAGACCCCTAACATATGGAACGCTTAGAAGACGGTTAGCATATAGCGAGTCCTATTTTACATAATCGAGTTTAAAAAGCAGGTGTAAAGAAACATTGGCGTGTCCCCCAGGGGTGGGTGGGGGAAGAGAGAAGACACCGGTCTCACACACAATGGTTGTGCACACACAGTAAAGTCAGACAAGGTAGTTTAAGGTGAGGGATTTGGGGGCCAGCAGGTGGCGTAGCGGTTAAGGTGCTGGACTCCCACAAGGTCAACTGTGGTTTGAGCGCCATACTTGGAGGTTGGAATCTCATGCAGGCGCGAGCACATGGGTGCCCACAATCCTGAGAGGAGAATGGAGGAGGGATTGTAGCACGGCCATTGCCCCAACCCCCTGGGGAGTGATTTCTCACTTTCTCTCTGTCTCTCTGGTGAATACACATGCCCTATAGCAATTATCTCTTTAAAAAAATAAAAAAGAAAAAGAAAAAAAGAAAGTAGATGAGGGGTTTGGAACTCTTGATTTCCACTGTTTGTCACACTGGACATCTGTCCTGGGAGCACACACATACTCTTCGTGAATCCAGGAGCTGGAGCGTTCCTCCCGGCCCTTCTCCACGTCTGCTTCCCCATTATGGGACAGAGGCCCCTGGAGGAGCTGCTGGGGTGTAGCCTGTCCCCCAGGAGGGCAGGGTGGCCCCTGTGCCTGGCTGACCCCCCAGGTGGCCCTCCCCAAGCTGGCTGCCTAGGGCCTGGCTCCCATGTCTCCACCTTGATCTCTGCAGCCCCAGGAAAACCGGTTCCCCTGCACCAAGGGATCTAATAACATCAGGTTCCTCCAAAGTCCCCCATCCCCCAGTGACTTGGCACCACAACGAGTGCCTAGAATTAAAAAAAAAGAAGAGCACATAATTTGTGGCAAGTGGAGTTCATAATCTGTTAATTTATGATCGTTTCTGTCGACCTGGAGGGCCATTAGCAGAGGTAATAAAGGGAGATGTAATTATAGGATCTGGGGCCCCTTCAGACACAGCTGCTGTCACTCGGCAGCTCATATTTCATCATCTAGACAGTGGCTACCTGGGAGCCCAGCCGCTGAGGGCCCCTTCACGAGGAGCCTCCAGGGAGCCAATGCGCATGTCAGCCAGGCAGGGTAGGGGTGGAGGTGACACCCACAGGCTCTCCTGGCTGGGGCAGGTTCATGCTGCCTGGGGAGGGACAGTAACGGAGGAATAAGACCTGGAAGCTGTAATTCATCAAGTGATGCCCGCAGCCTATGAAAGGCTACGGTTCTCGCTCTCATCTTTTGCTCACAGGGAATAAGAAGCCGCGGAAGAGGTGGATGCTCTAAAAACTTGGGATTGCCCTCTGGCCAATCGGATACTTGGAAAATTCAACTCAAGGTGAAAACCTGCATTTGAGATAGGACGACTTCAGACCAGCCTGACTAATGGCTGTGATTCTGAGCACATCCCAAGTGGTCCCCAGTTCTCCCTGGAACTCATCCTTGCTCCAAATGGGATTCTCGGGGCAGTTATTGTAATTGTTATCTCAGCCACACTCTTGGCAGGAGACCTGACATATAGCCAGCACTAAATATGCATGTATGAAGGCAAGCATGAAGCGCCTCTGTGTGCCAGGCTCGGGACTAGACGTGGCCAGACAAGGAAGCAGGAAATATGGTTCCCTGTGCTTAAGGACAGCGGCCTGGCTCCTCCTCAGAGATTTAGTTCTCAGCAGTCTCAAGTGGCCAGTCCTTCTTTCTGTCTGTCTGTCTGCCGGTGTCTGCGAAACCACATGGACAGGAGCCAACTTGGGTTCCAGATGGGCTCTGGCCTGCACCCTCCCTGCGTAACCTGCTCTAAGGGCTAGTGAGTCAGTCTTCAGATGAGTCTTCCACCCAATCCGAGGTGGGATCAAGTTGATTAGCTTAAAATACCAGGCACCGGATGGGCCACTGCCCTTACCATGAGGTCAACATGCAGCGGCAGAAGATTTCACTGATTAATTTTACCCGAAACACTTGAAGGTCAGGTCCAAATCATTTAGCAGGCAAATTTATGCAAAATAGGCAAATTAGCATTTAAGACAGACAAATGAGCCCCTACATTTATTTCTTTTCATCAGAAAGAATTCCAAACGATGGTATTAAAGAAAGCTGTTAGCACTGTGAATAATCCCCACCACCACTGAGGTAGCAGTCTGCCATATTTACCAAGTGGTCACTGAGTGTGCCCGTCTTCCCGGCAGCCCCTTAAGAGGGCTCTCTCTTTTTTTTTATTATCTTTTTATTTTATTAAACTTTATTCATTTATTCATTTTTATTTATTTTAATTTGACCAGAGAGACAGAGAGAGAGCTGCCAGGTTCAGGACTTGACCCGTGGTTGGCCATGTGGGAGTCCAGCACCCTTAACCACCACATCACCTGCTGGCCCCCAGAGCGCTCTCTTATGATTCCCATTTCACAGATGTGGCTACTGAAGCTCAGAAAAGTCAAATATCTTGCACAAGGCTAGTAAGGACGGAGCTTACTAGCTCAGGGATCAGAGCCCAGGCTGTAGGTTGCAAAGTCTATGCCCTTAGCACCTGCACTGCTCCACCCTGCCCTCTTCATTAGGCGCAGATGGGAGATGGAGCTGGGAGGTGGGAAGGCACAGGGAAGAGTGTGTGCAGGGGAGATGGGGCCTCCTAGTCCTGCTCCCCTCCATTGGAGGCACTGAGGGGGTTGGGTGGCAGAAAAAGGAAGCAGTGACTAGAGGGACCGGCAGGTGCCACTCCTGAGCCACAGTCAGGATGCGGTACCTGTTTAACCTGGGACAGGAGTGGAGGGTGGGTGGAAGGAGGAGCTGGGGGGGGCTGTACCCAATTTGGCCCTGGGTTAGTGGAGCAATCCAGGCTGAGGTGTCTTAAGCACTGTTCTGACCCTGTATCTGTGCTGAACCAGCACTGGGCAGATTCGGAAACTACTGAGTATGTAATCCCCAGAGGCTGAGCTCCTTAGCAAGGACATACCAGCCCAGATCCCTGGAGCCCGTCTCCAGTCAGAATGCCCAGGGAGTCCCACAGACGGAAATCTCAACTTCTGCCAGCTAAGTGTCAGCCGGCAGCTTCTCCAGGTCATCCAGCCTCCCTGGGAGCCTGTTCACAGGAAGGCTCCCGCCTGTAAGTTGCACACACTAGCTCTCCCCTGAAGGACTTTCTGATTCACCTCAATCGACTGCAGACCTTGGCCTCTAAAGTCTAGGACACCTTTGCTCTATCATCATGCTATATTCACCTTGCAGAGCTGTGACAAACAATCACCTTGCATAGCTGTGACAAACAAATAAGATCCAAAGACAGGGAGATAATCTGTCTCATGCCACGTAGCTAGAATTAAGAGTCCATGATAGGTCCCTGCCAGAGGCAAATAGCATGTCTTCACTGCACCATGGGCCGAGCTGTTAGTCTTACAGGAGCTGCAGAGCGGACCACACAGAAATGTGTGTAACACAGAATATAGGTGGGAGTCAGGGCTACAAAAATAAAAATAAGGGACTGGCAGATGACATGGTAGTTGGGGCGCTGGACTCCCACATGGGTGACCACAGCTCGAGTTCTGGACCTGGCAGCTTGCTTTCTCAGCTTCCCCCTCTCTCTTTCTGTGTCTCTCTCTGCTAAAATTAAAATAAATAACAATGCTGAGTACAATTAAAATAAATACATGAATGAATACAAATAAATAAATAAAAGAAAAAGACAAAAGCAGTTCACATTATCTACCCAGACCAAGCGAGTCTAAAAGCACATGCAGCAAAGGGAAGTCTCCGTGGCCTGAAACATGCTGCACATAATTTTCTGCACCACAGACGCCCCCAAAACCATCCAGTCTGAGTGGCAGTAGCAGGTGACAATAGCAAGCAGGCAACTGAGGCTTCACACCCAGGATGGCACCTCATCCTCATGGCTAAGCCCGCAGAGCAGGACTCCCACATTCCCATTTCACAAGGCCATGACCCGCCCAGGGCTGCCCAGCTAGCAAGCTGCAGACCCAGAATCCGAATCCTGACCCGGTTCCCAGGCCCACACCCTCAACCGTTCCGCTCTACCTGCCTCTACTACAAAAAGGCAGTGTGCTCTCCCAGGTTGTTTCCAGCATAATTCAAATAACGTCTATCAAAAAAAAAAAAAAAAACACCTACTCTGCCTTTTAAGAGTTGAAGAAACTTGTTCTTTGAGTATTACCAATCGTAGACCCAGCCACAGTCATTTCAAGAATAAGCGGTTCCAGAGCCCTCCCAGCACTTCATAAATATTACTGGATCTTCTAGACACTTGCTGCCTTCCAATTCCACAAGGAAGAAAAAAAGACCCCAGAAGAAAAGGGATTTGCCAAGATTTCCCAGGCTCTAAGCATCAGACCCATGGCCGCTGGGCAGGTTGGGGAGGGACTGGCCACACTCTTGCTCTGGTCCCAAATGACTCACCTGGGATGTGCTTGGCCCAGCCAATGATGACCACAAGCTCCCGGTCTGCTAGGTCACAGAGAGTGGTGAGGGCCTTGATGTCTCCCTCAGGCATGCCAGGGGGAGGCATGGCATAGAGCTTGTCTGGCTCGGCTACCAGCAGGTATGAGACGATCTTGGTCACTGCCACACCAGAGAGGGAAAAGTCAATGCTTAGGAGAAGAGGAAAGGGGCCAGGGGGAGGGCATAGCATGAATCAGGAAGAAAAGTCAAGTTCCTAAGAGCCCCTGGAAGGTCAAACACGGCTGTTACCTGCCCCCCTCAGCCCCGTCCCCCACCACTCCATTCTGACTGCACAGAGAAGCAGTGGTGATTGGGGTGTGGAAATACCCTTCCAGGGGAAGTTGCCTGATGACTCAGAGAGGAGCCCAGAAAAACTCTGGGTAGGTGGTGAGAGGGACATGTTCTGGACACTGGGCCGTGCTTTACTTTGGAGCCATGCTCTGTGTCATCCCATATGGAAATGAAACTGAAGTGTCTGCCACCAACGCCAGCCATCCCATATGGAAAGGCCTTCTCAATGAAACTGAAGTGTCTGCCACCAACGCCAGGCTCTGATGTCCCCTCGCCGAGATCCACACTGTCCCATGACCCAGTGGTAGGACGATGGCATTTCCCCAAGGGATGTCAGATGGTCCAGGTACTGATGCAGACAGGAGAGGCACGGCTGCCTGGTACTCACATGGCTTTTTAGCGGGTGGAGAGATTTGTAAGCTCAGATACGGGCTGCTCTCCGAGTCCAGCCGTCGCTTGTATTTCTGGCGGCCTCCGCGTACTCGGTCGAGGCGCACACCTGTGGGGAGGAGAGGATAAAGGTCTGGGGCAGTCAGCATCCCAGAGTGCTGGCACCAAATCTGGAATTTCAGTGCTGGCTACGACTCCCTGGGCCATACGAGCTGACCTTCTAGAGCTGCCTCTGGCCCACCTCGGGCCAAGGGGCTAGACAAGTGTTGAACAACTGTCTAACAGGAATGGCCCCTCCTAGTTGCTCCAGGCCTGGACTCAGCATCCTCCTGAAACTCACCCCAACTTTTCTGTCTCAAAAGGGAAAACACAACGAAAGCACCTGGAAGGGAGAAGAAGGCCTATCATGTTAGATCTGCTTTGAATCCAGGCAGGGTCACACGAACCTGCCAAGATAGGACGGGAATGCTACCATAGGCAGGTAGTTGAGAAGAGCTGAAACAAGGTTTTCAGACATTCCACCTCAGAAGCGTCTGGGTGGGTGCTTGCCACACAGGTCAATTTCTAGATCCCGCCCTCTGAGGTTCTAGGATGGAGCCCTAGAATGCCTTTTACAGACTCCCTACGGGATGAGGATGCAGGGTGTCCTCGCCCTCCTGGACACTCAGTGCCCAGATACCTGACATCAGGTGCAAAAGCAATTGAGGCTACTCCACATTGACATCCATTTCCAGGAGAGGGCGCCAACCCTAGCGAGGTCCTTATTGTCACGGTGCCCATAGGGCCCTCCAGAAGCCTGCCCCACCTCCAGTTCCTAGACAGCCCACCAACCAGGCCTTGATCCTAAAGAGGCAAGAGGAAGCCAGGATGGCCATAACTGAATGAAACAATGAGTTAAATCGCATTCATTCCAGGGCAATTTTCTGCCTGTTTCTTTCTTTTCTTTTTCTTCTTTTTTCAAGAGTTGTTTTGTTTTGTTTTTGTTATGAGGCGTGCGAGCTTGCCAGAAAGACAAAAAGAGACACAAAACAAAAAAATCACCCCCTGGCGGATTGGCCATGCCGCAATCCCTTCTCTGGGTTTTGGGCACACACATATGAGTTTCCTGCCATCAGGTCCAGGACGTCCACGTGGGTGTCTAGTACCTTAACCACTATGCCACCTGTTGGCCCCCTGGCTGTTTCTGTGTACATTTCAGTTCCTGGGACAGAGAGAGAGTTTCCTAGAGCAATGAGAGCAATTGGAAGTAAAACTGGGAAAGGCAGTTCCTGTAGATGCTAAAGAGGAGTGTTGAGGAACCCGTCCCCACTCAGCTGTTTCCAGTTAAGAGTCTGGGCCCACAGCCTCCTCCTGTGCCGTGAGCACAACAAGGTGGCCACTGAGGGGCTTGTGCCCAGCCCTGACTGGGTATCTGAGAGGTGTAGATTCTCCTCTCTCTTTTGGAGATCAGTCACACAAGCACAGCCACTGGATCGAGACCCAGAGCCAGAGGAGGGTGAAGCCCGACTGGGGCAGCAGCCATGCTCTCTCCAGCAGGGAGCAGGCGGCCCCTGGCCAGTCTGTCATGGTTATCCCCATACATACACACACGTTTCTGGGTCTGCAGGGCCTCTCCTCATTCTTGCCTGGTCTCTAAGTGTGGTTCTTGAGCCTCCTGGTAGGCTTCTAATAAACTGCCCTTCTCAAGACCAGCAGGTGGCGTAACGGTTACCTCGCTGGAGTTCCATGTAGTCAACTGTAGTTTGAGTCCCAGAACCAGTGGCTTAAAACTCACACCGGGTGCATGTGCATGCATGCCCAAAGTCCTAAGAGGAAAATGGAGAAGGGATTGAGGTGTGGTCAGTCCCCTGGGGGGTAATTTCTCAATTTCTGTCTTTGTCTTTCCGGTGAGTGCAAGCATCATATAGCACAAATCTCTACAAAAAAATGAAAATAATTTCCTTTTCTGCTTAGAGAATCAGAATTGGTTGTCAGTGATCACGTCTGCAGCTGCCTTCTCCGGGAGCAGAATCTGAGACTAGGATAGGCCTGCGAGCAGTTTCAGAGGAGGGACGAAGCCGAGAGTGAGCGTGTTCCTGAGCAGGCTACTGCTGAGCAGCCGAACTCAGCTCCCCGAGGCTCTGGAGGAGAGTGTAGAACACGTCTGGCCAGCCACCAGGAACCAGCTAGAACTGCTGCCCCGCAGACCCACACTGAGCTCATCCGGTAGCCAAAGAAAGCCCAAGGCAGAGCCGTAGTCATAAGGTGTCAGATCTACATGTGCTTGAGCAGGACCGTCTCAGTGGCCTTTCTTCTCCTGAGCACTGCAGGCCAGCAGCAGCACCATCATTCGGGGCTTGTTGGAGATGCAAAACGCACAGGCCTGACCCCAGGAGAATGGGGATCAGCACCTGAGTAAGGCTATTGGTGCACACAGTGGAGTTTGAGGGGTGCTCAGCTTCTTGGTGAATGCAGCTACAAAATCACCTCAAAGATCTCTGTGGCTCACACCGGCTCTGACCCCTCAAGCCCTTTGGTGAGGGCAGAAGAGATAGACATACCAACATAGGAAGAACAGCTCTACCCTTGAAAGTCCCCTGTTTAGAAGAGTTTCTGGGGAACAGCAGATGGCAGAATGGTGACATCATTGGACTCTCACATGCTTGACTGTGATTCAAGTCCTGGACCTGGGGGCTTAAAACTCATGCGGTGTAAGTGTGTGCGCATGCCCAGAATCCGAGAGGACAATGGAGAAAAAGGGATAGAGGCATGGCCTTCCCCCCGGAGAGATGATTTCTTGCTTTCTGTCTGTCTCTCTGGCACGTACATCTGCCCCGTAGCAAAAATTTCTAAAAAACAAACAAACAAAAAAAGAGTTTCTGACCCCATCCTGGGTATACCTCGATAGACGCCCCACCTGCTTATACATCCAGCATGATCCAGGCCCTCCTCCAAGCTCTGCTTCCCAGAGGATGCTAATGTGACCAAGAAAGTGGCAACGCCAACCTGTGCTCATAAAGGACAGCAAGGCTGCCCCTTTACTACATGCCTATGCGTGCCAGGGTCTTACGTGTTCTCATTCTTCGGCCCAGAATCAGCCCCTGCCTCACTTTACTGGCCTTCTCTCCTCGGAGCCAGTCTAAGGAGCTCTCCCCTCCCACCCAGCCTGCCTCACCCAGACAGCCATGAGCCAGAGTGCACGTACGGTTGGGAGATGGGCCGTTATCATCTCTGACACACGCCTGATAGAGGGAGGATGCTCGGGGAGGATTTGATGAAGACAGGAAAGGTGGTGCGTCCTTCCTCCCACTGCATGTCAACTGGGCGCTTCATTAAAGGCTCCAAGAGCACACTGGGCTTCCCTGCTATGTGCTGTGGACGGCCAGTGGCTGCTCAAGGTCCTGCCCCAGAGTCTGCCATGGTACCTGTTATGCTGAACTGGGGGCCGCTATTACTATCATCATCATTAACCTTCCCTAGTAGCTGTACAACTTCCTGATAAATCGCATTCGTGAGGATAATAACAGCATCATTAATGGAAGGCTTTCTGTATGTATGACCTCATTTAATTGGCAAAATATAAAGCAGGTGTTATGATCCTCATTTTACAAACGTGAAAAAAGGAAAAGAAAACTGAGGCCCGGTTGAAGAGCTAGCATCCAAGCTCTTTGCCATCCTGAGCTATGACCTCCTGCAGCATGGCAAGTGTAGACTCTCCTCTAAATTTTCTCCTCCAGATCTTTACAGCACAGTGGTCAATGGTTCCAATCAATTAAAGTGTCAATTATCAGTTTAGTCTGTAAAAAAAAAAAGTAGCCTGTTGGGTTTAATTATGTACAAACTGACACCTTGCTTTCCGTCTGCCTTCCTGAGTCCTGCCCATCACTGCTCCAGCCAGTGAACGAGGATCATCTCTACCAGCCACAAGCTATGAGGCCCTGGACAAGTGGGCCCTCATGGTCTTGGTTTCATCATCAGCTAATCAGGTACAGGAGTAGGGCAGTGGTAACAGCAACACAATGACTTTTGTGACAACTGAACAACTTACTAGTGGGCAAAGCTTGGTAAAGAGAAAAGCAGTTCCAGGAAGCTGGGGTGTGGGGGGGTGTCAATCCCCTCACCCCATGCTTTGACATTCGCCTAGTACTTTGCCTCCCACCTTATCCGTGTCTCCCTGTGTACCCATCCACTCTTCAATTCAGTGGGCTCGTAGAGGACAGGGCCCAGGCCTGCTACATCCCCACAACACATGCTGTCCACAGGCACGATTTGCTAATGGTCATTTGGGGTGGAGGTTCCCATGGGATAGATCTGTGTTTCCCATCTGAAGGACCCTGAGTCACAGTTATGTGCTGGAGGTTTGTGGGAAAGCCCAGAGTTTGGATCTTGGGTTGGCCTAGACATGCCAGGTGCAGCCATAGGGCACTCCATGATCCTGGCTGGTTGGAGGCTTAGAGAAAGAATCACAGCATGATAAGACCCTGTTGGGGATCCTCTCTCTCTCTCTAAGAAAACAAACTTAAAAAAAAAAAAAAAAGTAGGCCATCCAGGAGGCATGGTGGTTAAGGTGACTGGTCCCACATGGCCAACTACGTGGTTCATGATCCAGCAACTTGAAAAATATGCTGAGGCATGTGTGTGTGCATGCCCAAATCCCAAGAACATAATGGAAAAGAAGTGTGGTCATCCTCTCCTGGGGAATGCTTTATATCTCTCGAGAGAGCATTCACAGTTAAAAGAAAAGGAACGAAATGAAAAAAAAAAGAAAAACAAAATTACCATGTGACCCAACAAGACCATTCGTAGCATATACCCAAAAGAGTTAGAAGCAGGGTGTTCAGATACTTGTGCACCTGTGTTCACTGCAGCACGTTCACTGCAGCATGTTCACAACAGTCAATAGGAAGAAACAACACAAGTGCCCACTGGTAGGTGAGTGAAAGAACAAACTGGGTACATACACATGACCGAGTATTATTCACAGGAGAATAAAGTTCTGCACGTGCTACAGCATGGATGAACCTTAAAACACTATGCTAAGTGATGAGTGCCAGATAGTGGCGCAGTGGTAAAATGTGATGCTCCACAAGGCAATCGTATATGGGAAGGATCCTGGTTCAAGTCTGGAGA